GTGGTTAGACTCCTGCAATAACATTATCTTTCAACCAGAGCTCTCATACAGATCAGTCTGGACATTAAGGGCTTCCCTGAGATCTAAATAAACTTATCAGAAACCATATTAATCCAGAACCTTTTGGGGTAAATATTAATGTAGTAGTTTCTGAGGAAACACAGAAATTCTATATATGTAATATATTTATTTTTGTTACTGACAGATGATGATAAAAGAATACTGACTCAGTGTTCAGGGTACTGAGAGTCTGGCATATCTACTTAAAGGTTTAACTTCTTACTAAACATCAAATACAGCAGTTTTACTGTGGTCACATAATTTGGCTGCATAAGACAGCTTAAAGTGATTGCTTCCTTTCATCTTGTGCCACTTCACTCTCCAAACTCCACCTGTCCTAAATGACAATCCACCAACTGAACGTGGCAAATCCAAGACCTTCTTTCCCATTCATATTGAAATTCCTATTCAGTCTCTAAAGGCACTACACATAAACCTGCTGTAATAACATACATCAAATAATCATTTATTTTTCTACATTTCAGTACTTGTTATAAATATTTTATTTCTACTTTTCCTACCTCATTTGCAATTCACATATATTTCCTCATATTTCTGTCATATTTCCTTTTTATAACCATAAGCTATATTTCTACTTTATCATTTCCTTTTAACTACTCTGGAAGACCTTTATATATTTCAATTACCTGCAGACTCACAGTCCTACGGCATAATCTTAAAATCAAAACTATGATGCTGATGCACTCCTCTGCATATTAATTCTGGATATTAGAATATTATTAGAGTATAAGCATGTAGGTATCTTCTTAAATTTCTTTGATACATCAAGGTTCTCATCTTTCATCTAATGTAGTTAATGGCTTTGATCAAAGCCGTGCTGAACCCTCTATAAGCATATACTTTAGTGTAATGAAAAAGATACTTGCAGCCCTTTACTGATTTTTCCTTGACACTGTTTCGGTGTCAAAGTAGATTTGCCCTACAGATGTCCTGCAATTAATCAGAGAAAGTTTCCATTAAAACTGAAATATGCTATCTTCTGTCCCTCTCTGACTTCCATCTTTCTGCACAACTTTTCTATTTAAAAAGGAAGAAGGCTCATAGGAAGTCATTAAGGTCTGCAAAGTTTTCATGTGTCTTCTTTATGTTTGTACTACAAGCAAATGTGCAAGCCCTATTACAATTCCAATTCCATGATACAAAAATAGTCAACAAGAAGCTGTAAACCAACCTAATCTTTCAAGTTTTTATTAATCAAGTATTTCCTACACTGCCTTATGATAGATTGCTTGTTAAAGCTGTGCATTACAAAAGCATTCTGAATTCAGGAAAAAATCATAGAACCCATAAATCCCACACTGCCACAGTGGTTTATAAATGCTCATACAATGGGCATGCTTTAGAAAATTAATTACCAAAATGAATCATTTATTGGACCCATTCACAGTGAAGTGTTTCCAAAGTGACGGTAGTCACAGCTAAGCAAGACACAAAAGTCAGGTTTTCATTGTATTACCACACTTCAATAACTGCATGTGGGAATTTCACCTCCAAATAATATTAATTTTTTGTTTTCTCTTTTCTTCCGTAACTCCTTTCCTACATGAGCCTAAGTCACCATGATTATCAAAACACAGGCTTGAGAAAAATGCACAAAAAAAATAAATCTGGTTGATGTTTGACATTATAATGTCTTGCCAGGTTTCATCACTCATGTCATACTGAGTAATATAATCTGATTGATGCAATTCACAGGGACATGTTTTTGCTGAAGAATTTAAAGGTATCAAACAATCTTGGGAGAGAATTCAGAGCTACTATATGAAAAGGATTTTGTTATTTTATTTTTCCATGAAGATAGAATTATATGGTTTTCTTTTGTTTAACCCCTATGAGATGTAAAAAAACAAAAACAAAAACAAAACAACTTTCTTGAGATTGCATGGATCATACAACTTTTAGTCTTCATTAGGAAATCTGTGTTAAATAATTTCAGCTTTAGACTGAAGCCAAAAGTAAAGCATAGACATCTCATTACAGCTTTATTATTTGGCTGCAGATTAGTACTTACACTGTAAAAAGCCTTTTAGGGTTATAGAAACTGGGATATGAGGTTATTTTCTCTAAACCCTTCAAAAATACTCATTTAGGAATATAAAATCTTCCCTTCATTCTGTAGGGTAAAATTTTAATTATATAACAAGATGATGGAATGGTTAACTTATAAACGGGCCTTAGGGATTTAAAACATAAAATTAAAACTAGCGTTTTCTAGCCTCATTATAAGAAGTTAGTAATGAAATCTGATTTCAAGACAAGATGATTATCCAGAGATCAGAAAGAATGATCTCAACTTCATTAAATTACTTTTGAATAAACATAAAAGACAACAATAATTTTCAAGTGATTTTTAAAAGTAAATTACTCTTTCAAATTACAATTTCAAAACACCTTGACATGTTTTTCTAAAGAAACTGCCTGAAATATTGGATGTTAAGCTGTTTAATGGAACATACTTTGTATTTAACTTCATGACCTAAATGACAACACTTAAAGCCTGACAAATCCTACAATATGCAGTTTCTTTGCAATATTTAAGTGCTGCATATATCTTTCTTTTGTGTGTTTGTGCAATCAATTCAATGTTTTTATTATTTTAACTCTATAAAGTAACTTTTCTAGTTCAATGAAGTTCTTTGAAAATTCAAGCCTCACTCTTATTTTTCATTTTAGCCATAGAAGGAAAATCAATTACTTGTCTAAAAAATTCTAGTAGTGAAATTCTCTGGTAGGACTCAACAAGTATATAGTAACTCCTTCAACTCAGATGAATGTATCATCAAAGCAGCACTAGGCTTTCCTAACCTCTACTTTTTTCTTTTTTTTTTAATCCTTTTTGTTTGTTTGTTTGATTGATTTCTGTTTTTCATTTAATTTGCATGGGAAAGCTTACTATAAATGCACATACAGCCAGGTTTATTTCTGGAACTCAGGAGAAAATCCTGTTCTTTTCACAAGGAATAATCTGATATCCCATGGTAAGCATCACTGAATAAATTTTCACTACTTGTGCTGCTTTCTGTACCACTGATATCAACAGGTGCTGTGGGAACTTACACAACTCTGAAGTTAAAGACAGTTAAACAATGCTTCACTTCTGAAGGCCAATAAAAAAATTACCATGACACCTACAGCTTATGATTACATTTCTTAACAGCAGGTGTAATCCTCAATGCCATTTATAAAATGGTTTAATTTTTAACTTATGATAAACACTTTGAAATCTCCTATGTTAATTGTATGTTTAAGATTACCTTTGTTAAGTATTTAATATTCTGATCTCAATATTTAATATTCTGACCAAGTTTGAACCTTAGCAGGATTCCATATATAATCGTAGAATCATAGAGTGGTTAGGGATGGAAAAGACTTTAAGATCGTCTAGTTCCAACCCCCCTGCCATGGGCAGGGACACTTCACACTAAACCATGTCACCCAAGGCTCTGTCCAACCTGGCCCTGAACACTGCCAGGGATGGAGTATTTACCACTTCTTTGGGCAACCCGTTCCAGCGCCTCACCACCCTCACAGTAAAGAACTTCTTTCTTATGTCTAACCTGAACAATTTTGATTCTCTTTTTTTCTTTTCTTTCTTGTGTTATTTCAGTTATTTTCTTCAGTTTAACTATGGTAAAATTCTTGTACAACTACTATCTCTGAGGCATTCCTGCTGACTCAGCAAACACTGATGTTTCCCTCTCCTAACCCCAAGTTTGGTAACCCAGCACAATTCAGTGTATTATACTGGATACTGCAACATCACTCAACTGCTTTTTCTTTTGGTTTAGCAGTATTAAAACAGACTGCTCAGCTAGAGGAGACAGACAAAGGTCAGATAGGAATGAAATCGGAAGAAAAATTACACCATATATACTGGCAAGTATCAATCTTGAGGCTTATGAAGAAATTTCAGTCATAGCTTGACTCTGGACTTCCTGGATATATTTTAATGCTGTATCTGGCATTACATGCTATATCTGGTTCTACATAAAAGTCAGAGTACCTATTTTTATTTTTTTTTTAAAGAGGCTTAAAGTTGCTAATAATTATTTCTTATTTTTACAGACCAGAAAAGGATAACATCATAACTGTCACAAAAAAGAACCGTCTTACATTTTCCGTATAATTGAACTTTCAAACTAATAGGCTGATTTCAAACTCAGTACAGAGACATACCCAGATATAGACTGACCTAAGCTAAACAACCCTTACTGATGAAGCAATTCAAGTTTTCTACCTTATTCTAGATTATGAATGGATAGCTCAAATCTGGCCTAAGTTCAGGTAGGCCTTTATTAAGCAGTCAAAGTTTAAACATTTATCTAAAACAGAATTAGATAATCAATTCTTTTTTTATAAGGTAACACACTTCTAATATCAAATGAGTTCCTGATATACATTTAATGTTTACAATAAAAAGTCAGTAATTTTTTCTATTTTATTGAAAAAATGTTCAAGTGTTCTACTTACTGTTCAGCTGAGCTTCTAAAGTAAAGCAGAGTACATAACCTTAATTCACATGGAAGACAGACTTGATATTATGTTTACAGAAAAAGAAGTTCATAGTATATGACCCCCTTCACCATTGTGAAGGGGCATGACCTAAACAAATATTATAGGTACCACAAAACAGTGCTTAACGGTAACATATAAAAGCCAAATCAGTGTGATAAGGGTGATTTGTTCCATTGCAGGCCCTGCAGAGCTTAAATTTAAGTCTGCCTTTAGAGGAGCTGATTTTTGGAGTATGCAGTATCTTTTCGTTGTTCAAGAAGTCACTGATGAGGAGAATACTTCCTCTCCAGTGGATGAAAATCTTTTAGAAGACCGATAGATTAATTATTACCAAGGATATTAGAGAAGAAAAAAAAAAAAAGAAAAAAGTTTACATCCACTTAGAAACTTTATTATTGTCATACCTGTTACTTTCAGTCTGTCAGCACCAATAACAATCTCATCTTCATCTGCAGAAAACAGTACTTTTCCACTTTCAGTTGCCCTCACTTCAAATCTCTTACTCTGGGCCTCCACAGCATCAGCTCCTGAAATCAAGGGAGTGAATATTTCATCTGCAATATGTTGTAAGAATGGCATCAGCATACATAGAATACCCAAAACACATTGAATACATGAGGGTTTTATAAAATACTGGGCTTTCTGTTGGTCTGGTAATTTGTATTATAAAATACTGTTAAATTAATTTACAGAGTAACTATTTCACTATTGAATATCAGGATAGAATTTAAACTCAAAAGCATCTATTTCAGTGTTGCATGGAAGTCAGCCCAAGAACTTAGAATGTACTTAAATTCTGAGATCTTGAAATGGCTATTTAGCTTAAACTACAGGGTTTTTGCCAACAGCAAAAAAAGAAAACATAACCTATTCCATAATCACCAACAAATCAGCACACCAGAAAATGGTATTTTTCATTCAGTTCTACTGCAAACATGAACAACAGAATAAGAAAACAAACAAACAAAACAACCAATAAAACAAAAAAGATGAACTGACATATCACAGTTTATTTCATATTCTATGAAAATTGTCTGAAAGCTCCAAAACTCTAAAGTAATCTTGAAATTAAACAAACCTATGGCACTGCACCCAATAGTGCGAGAAAAGAAGTCTGTAGTTACCAAAACTCTGTCAAATTTACTATGCCTTTCAATTTACTGGTCTTATCCTTACTCTTCAGTGTTTTTTCCTGCTAAGTTGTTTTTGAAAATTTTTATTTTATTTTATATTTTAATTTATTAAGTGATAGCAAAAGTTTAATACTGAAAATAGTATTGAAAAGCAATGAACTGCATATAGCAAAACCAGCTGTAAGGCAAATTGCAAGACTTAATGGAATAATTATGTTACAATTTTCGACAATCATTGATCCCTAATCACATTTCTAATGTACACATGGAATGACCCATAATTCTATATGGGCAAAAATTACGGGGAAGGCGTTATGGATGAAGAAATCCCTGTCTGTCATTTCAGTTTACCAGTTTGGCTTACAGGTTTGTGAAAAACACTTGCTTCCATCATGTGGAAGTTTCCAGCTTAATATGCAAATGCACATTACCAAAATATATAATAATAAAGCTGTGATAACTAATTTTGGATGAGTAATTGCCAAAGCAATTTATATTTACCAAATCAGCTATAAAATCAAAGCAACAGTTTTTCTTACTTTCAAATGAACTTGTATTTATACCATGAAAAATTTCTTATTCTTTATAATTCATGAATGTAAGAAGAAAATGAAAGGGAATATTAAAAACTTTTGCAATGCCAAATTTTCTTGAAGTAAGACAAGTTTATTCTGTTGTAAAAGTCTAAAATGATATTTTCTCCCTCTCTTTGTACAACTGAATTTTATCTTAAATGGGGTAGTCATATGGGTGTCTTTGTTTACAGAAATAATAAATTTCAGTAAAGACAGACAGGGACATATTTCAGACAACATAATGTTAGCCATACGCTAAATGCTACACCTCACAAACATTCCAGGATGTTCATTAATAAAACGTATCACAGCCTAATTGTCCATCAGGATAAATGTAATCACAATATATATTCACACATAGCTGTCACTGAATGTATCCACTGTCCTCTAAACATTTTCCATAGGTCAGCAGTTATGTTGCTCGTACTGCTGCCCCCAGGCACACCCAAAATTTTTGTTTGAGATGTTAGCATTTAGCTAGTGATGCATGCTAGCAATAAAATTGTGAAGGGTACTCTGTTTTGTTGCACTGATACATGTAAAGATATTTAAAAACTTTGAAATGTGTATTTATTTGTTATACAAAAACTTAATTTTTTGAAACCCAGTGAGATCTAGGCATTTCAACTCACCAAATTTCTGGTGAGTTGAAACGGCTATTGTGTATCTTTCCAGTGGCAGAAACACATAAGGAAATTAGGAGGTTAATTTATGCATATATATATATATATATATATATTTTATTTTACTTCATTTTGAGATATTTAAAAGACATACAATTAAAAGGCATTAACTGAATGTAAAATGTATTAAATTAAATGTATTGACTTAAAACATATACCTTTGAGGAAAAATTGGAAGGAATAAATTTTCCTGGTTTCGTCAGAAGTATACTTTCAAAATCTCAAAGCTCTTCTTCATTTGTGTATTTATTTTTCTGTCCTAGTCTAGTTGTCAATCTTTTTGTGAATTTCACTCTATTCTAAGGCAAATCTCAGAAGACTTGCATTTTAAATTATTAGAAAACGTAAGTAAGAATTCTGTTAATAAATTTCAGTTAACAAATATTAATTGTATTTCAAAACAATAAAGTTCATAGTTTCAGATTGCTTAACAACTACCATAACCTTCTACGTGAAACTACTGAATACTGGAACATAATATCAAATATAGTACTTGATAAGACTATCACAATAATCATGAAGGTCACATACTTTAAAGTCTTTAAACACCACTATATACGAAGCACCGTATGCTTATCTCCCAGATTTTGCAGAATGAAAAGATATCACACAAGATGTAAGGGTACAACAAGTCCCTAAAACGAAAAGACTTCCTACTGGTAAGTGCATTCACAGTGCTCAGTATCTGGTCCCCTGCACATGCCAGACTGGTGAAGCATCATTGAACTAGTGTGCAGCCAGGCACTCTGCCTGAGTGCTTGCATTTTCTTTGGCGGGAAATTGCAGCAAGGAGGAGGAAGGAGAGCCCTTAAGTATCACTTCAACAATCAGAAAGCATACTTAAGTCATTTTTGGGGGGAAACAATCTGAAGAAAATAAGCTGAAAATGCCTCCTACAATGTCTAGATAAAGGTCAGTCAGCATATTTATGCGGTAACAGGTAATAAACACAGATAGACTAAGCAATTCCTCTTAACATGAAGTAAGCAGAAGCTAGTAAGTAAGGGAAGCTAGGGACTAGGTTAGGAAAGCTAAGGCCCAGTTAGAATTCAACTTGGCTAGGCATGTGAAAGACAAAAGGAACGGATTCTGTAGGTACATTACAAATAAAAGACAGACAAGGGACAACATGGGCCCTCTCAGGAAGCTATCAGGAGAACTGGCTACCCTGGATTTGGAGAAGACTGAGGTTCTGAATGACTTCTTTGTCTCAATCTTCACTGGCAAATGCTCTGACCACACCACCCAAGTCTCGGAAGGCAGACGCAGAGACTGTGAGGATTAAGACCTTAGGCCCAGTGTAGGAGAGGGTCTGGTTCGAGACCATCTTAAGAACCTGAACATGAGCAAATCCATGGGACCTGATGAAATCCACCCACAGGTCCCGAAGGAGCTGGCAACTGAAGTTGCTAAGCCACTGTCCATCGTATTTGAGAAATCATGGCAGTCAGGTGCAGTTCCCAATGACTGGAAAAAGGGAAATATAACCCCCATTTTCAAGAAGGGAAAATGGATGACCCGGGGAATTACAGAGCAGTCAGTCTCACCTCTGTGCCTGGCAAAATCTTGGGGCAGATTCTCCTGGAAGGCATGCTAAGGCACATGAAAAACAACAAGGTGCTTGGTGACAGCCAGCATGGCTTCACTAAGGGGAAATCCTGCATGACCAATTTGGTGGCCTTCTATGATGGGGCTACAGAACTGATGGACAGGGGTAGAGCAGTTGACGTCATCTACCTGGACTTGTGTAAAGCGTTCAACACTGTCCCACACGACATCCTTGTCTCTAAATTGGAGAGACATCAATTTGATGGATGGACCACTTGGTGGATAAAGAACTGGCTAGATGGCCACACACAAAGAGTTATGATCAATGGCTCAATGTCCACCTGAAGACCAGTAACGAGTGGTGTCCCTCAGGGATCGGTGTTGGGACCAGTCTTGTTCAACATCTTTGTCACTGACATGGACAGTGGGATTGAGTGTGCCCTCAGCAAGTTTGCCAATGACACCAAGATGTATGGTTCAGTCGATATGCTGGAGGGAAGGAATGCCATCCAGAGGGACCTTGACATAATTGTAAGGTGGGCAGATGCCAACCTCGTGAAGATTAACCATGCCAAGTGCAAGGTCCTACACCTGGGTTGGAGCAATCCCAGGCACAGCTACAGGTTAAGCAGAGAAGAGATTCAGAGCAGCTTTCAGAGGAGAACTTGGGGGTGCTGGCTGATGAGAAACTTAACATGAGCCAGCTTCAGTGTGTGCTCACAGCCCAGAAAGCCAGCCATATCCTGGGCTGCATCAAAAGGAGCGTGACCAGCAGGTCGAAGGAGGTGATCCTGCCCCTCTACTCTGCTCTCGTGAGACCTCACCTGGAGTATTGTGTGCAGTTCTGGTGTCCTCAACATAAAAAGGACATGGAACTGTTGGAACAAGTCCAGAGGAGGGCCACGAGGATGATCAGGGGACTGGAGCACCTCCCGTATGAAGATAGGCTGAGAAAGTTGGGGCTGTTCAGCCTGGAGAAGAGAAGGCTGCACAGAGACCTCATAGCAGCCTTCCAGTATCTGCAGGGGGCCTACAAGGATGCTGGGGAGGGACTCTTCATTAGGGACTGTAGTGAAAGGTAAAGCAGTAATGGGTTAAAACTTAAACAGTGAATGTTTAGATTGGATATAAGGAAGAAGTTCTGTACCGTAAGGGTGGTGAGGCGCTGGAATGGGTTGCCCAAGGAAGCTGTGAATGCTCCATCCCTGGCGGTGTTCAAGGCCAGGTTGGACAGAGCCTTGGGTGCCATGGTTTAGTGTGAGGTGTCCCTGTCCATGGCAGGGGTGTTGGAACTAGATGATCTTAAGGTCCTTTCCAACCCTAACTATTTTATGATTCTAAGTACTGTCTGGAGAGCTTTTTGTAAAAATACTCTGCTCATTTATGGAGAGAGGTAACAAGAACATAACAAAAGGGACAATTTTTAGTACGGCCTGTTGTGATGGGATGATGGGTAATGGTTTGAAACTAAAAGAGGACAGATTTAGAGTAGATATTAGGAAAGAATTCTTCAGTGTGAGGGTGGTGAGGCACTGAAACAGGTTGCCCAGAAAGGTGGTAGATGCCCCATCGCTAGAAATATTCAGGG